CTTGGATCCGGGCAATGTCCTATTTCTTTTTTGAAGGGGTGTAGAGGTATTCTTTCCTCTTTCACTACTCCCCCTCTTGGCTTTGCTTTTGTGTTGTTTTTTTTTTTGGAATTTTTTGGGTAACACAAGAGAAGGAGAAGAAAGACTGATTATTAGAATGAGTGATTTGAGAGAAAAAAAGGGGACGAGTTGAAAAAGTTTTTGAGGAGTTGTCAATCTTTAAAATTGAAGGAAGAATAACATCGGTCCGGCGGGCGGCTAATGGTGGCGCCGCCCGCCAGAAGCGAGCGTAGAGAGTTTTAGGTCACTGCCCGCCAGAAACGAGTTCCCGTAATTTTGATAACTTAATTGCTCTAGTTATTTTTTAAATACTACCTTCATCCTGTTAAACTAATCCACTTTGGAAATAGATGAAATTTAAGAAATGTGTAATTGTGAAATTACTTTCTAATTTTTTGTGTGCTTACTTTATAGTAGGTGTGATGTGCAGATTAATAGTGGAGTTACGTTAAAAATTAGCGTGGATAAAAGGAAGAATTTTTTAGAGTATAAAACTTTTTTAAGCCTACAATCACAAGCTTGAACTTTTTATTGAGTTACTTCCTTGACATGATATCAGAGTCCCAATGATCAAGAGATCACACGTTTAAAACTCGTTGCCACCTAGTTTTAAAAATAATAAAATTCACGTGCAAAGCTTAAAGATGTTGGCCAATTTGCATCAATTATCTCGTGGCGGATGTTATGGGGGTCAAGTCACAATTAAATATCGTTGATGCTTGTATGTGTTGAATGCACTATAAGGTTAGTGTAGACTTGGCAAAAAAAGATCCGACCTGTTTTTGACCCGAAACCTGACCTGAAAATACTGGGTTTTGAACAAAGGTTTTAATGACCAAACCCGAAGTTGACCGAACCCGAAATGACCTGCTAAAAATGGATCAAACCCGACCAAACCCGAATTTGCCGACCAAGTAAAGTATGAGTTTTTCAAAATCACACTTTACTATTCGTTTTTAATGTATAAATTTATATTTTCAGTCAAAATTTTAATGATATTGCATAAGTATCTTACTTTTTTTAAAACTTAAGCATTTTTTAAATTCCTTATATAAATTTATATATCTAAAAAAACTATAGGATATGATGTAAAATAGAATAATCTAATAGATGTACTACATATTATATTTTAATTTTATTTAATAGAAAATGTAAGTATTAATGTGAATTTAAAAATTTAAAAAACCAAAGTCATAACCGTTGGGTCGACTCGAACCCGATGACATTGGGTCATGAACATACAGTTCTCAACTCAAACCCGAAATAATCAGAACTCGAAGTGACCAAACCTGAACCCGACCTGACTGGCCGATTTGCCAGCTCTAGGTTAGCGTATTCAATTCTTTTAACACTAATTCATTTTAGAAGAATTAGTGACGTTTGAGATTCTATAAGTGGTATATGAGCCAAAGTTAGTAGTTCGATTTGCAGCAAGGGTAGTTCAGAGGGGAAAAATGTTGGTTGCATCAATTGTCCCATGACGGAGAATATGGAAGACAAGTCACAATGATATGTTGTGGACGCTTGTGTGCATTGAATGCAATATAAGGCTAGGGTAGGATTCAATTCCTTGACAATTTTGGTTAAGTAAAAACATTTTTTTGGACGGAAGAAAATTGAAAGTAGGAAAAAATTTTGAGACGGAGAGAGTAATATATATATATATATATATATATATATATATATATATATATGTATGCATATATATATATATATATATATATATATATATATATATGTATGTATGTATGTATATAACATCTCATTTTAATAAAATATTATGTATCCCGACCCATAGTTTTTATTTATATATAATTTCAATTTGAAATGTTATGTTATTATTTTAAAAATATTAAATTGAAAAATATAATATTAATTGATAGGTAAATATTTGTTGCATGACAAAGGAACTTGTGATAACTTTTATTGAGTTTTTTCGGTGAGAGTGTCGGCGATTGGAGTGAGACTGAGAAGTTTCTTTTTTTCTCCTTTTGGGCCATTTTCTGCTTCTCTATCGCTTTTCATGCTCTTAACCTCCAGAAAAACATAAACAAATGCAACTTTCTTGTTCTTCCATTACACACATAATATTTTTTGAAGAGAGAGATTATAGATTTTTTTGGTGAGAAAGATAGAGATAATAGACGGCGGTTGTTAGGCACGCTCGTCAAAATCGCTCGATTTCGCAATGTTTTCAAGCAGTCGACCACCGTGAACAAAGAGCGATGATGTGCTCGATCGAAAAAAAAGGGCTAGGTTTTTGAGCTGATACTACAATTTGATAATAATTGGTCTTATTAAATAATGAAAGATACATCGCTATATATAGGGATCACAAGAAAGAGTTCAAACTATAGTAGGAGAAGAACTATACTAACAGCACAATAAGGAAATAACATAATAAAGAAGGTAATAAATAACACTCCCTCCGTTCCGTAAAACCATTTCCTTTTCGTTTTTTCCAATTCCCTAAAACACTTCTAATTTATATTAAAAATCACTTTTACCCATACTTTTTCATACCCTACCTATCAGATCATACTTTTTCACTAATAACTAAACTATCACATCTTACTTTTACCCATCACATCAGGGGCAAAATTGGAAAGTCAACCAAAATTATATTTTTTTATTTTGACACAAAATCAAAATAGGAAGTATTTAAAGGAAGGAAGGGAGTAATATTTTATTTCCTAATACATCAATTATTCAAAGACCCCAAAAAGAAAATTTCCGTTTTGAACCTTCTACCTACATGGTAGCTATACAGTAAGGAGTATTTTTTTTTTGTTTTTGAAAAAATCTTCTCTCTTTTGCCTAAAATTTCTACGTGGAAACAGAGCCGGACACTCCAGAACCCGAGACAATGGATTTTGCCTTCTTTCTTTCGATCGGCTGTGGAAAGGGGTCCTCGTCATCGGAATCCGCAACGTTGAAGGGATGACTTTGTTTGGACGAACCGATAGTGTCATTGACCTCAACCTCGTCGTCGATGGAGGATCTTTTCTTTGAGGATCCGGCATTAGAATTGTTGAGTTGTTGCCAATTGGGTAAACGGCTTAAAATCCTCCAAAGATCGATGAGCACCTTGCCTTGGTGTCCGTCGTCTTGATACCGGGCCGTGGCAAGCCGGAGAACATCGGCGTCGTTCGTCCCGCTCCTTTGGAACTGGGCGTATTCCTCGTAAACTCCGATAAACTTTCAGACTTTACGGTTGATGTGGCCCCATTTGGAAGTGAGTTGGTCCCGGGTACGGTACGAGGCGTCCTTGTTCATCGGCGTAAAGAACTTTTCCTCGATACGATCCCAAATCGCATCCTTCATTTTTTCTGAACCTGTAAAAAGTATAACACGAAATTTTTTTTAACACAATTATATAAGGAAAACATATTTTTCCATTGACCTCACCATATTAACACAAATATATTAGAAAACAAATACTCCCTACGTCCCATTAAGTGTTACACATTTTGACTTTTAAGAAAAATAAGGAAAACATATTTTTCCATTGACCTCACCATATTACCCCTTACCCTAATGTAAAAGTACTCCATGAATAGTGTAAAACAAGATATTATAGCAAGTGAAGTACACATACTAGTATAATAGTGGGTGGGGTTTGAGAGTTGGGTAGATATTAGGTTTAAGGGTAGAAATGTCCTTTTTAGGAAAAAGTGTAGTTCTCTATGGGACAAAAAATTTATGAAACGTGTAAATCTTTTTGGGACGGAGGGAGTAATTTTTACCAAAGATAGGATATTCAGAGACGTCAACCCAAGCCAACGCCAACAAGCACTCTTCCTCTAGCGTCCACTTTTCGACTGACCGTGCCGCCTCGGTCATTGCTTGAGTGCCTTTCGCTTTGTGGCTCTTCCGGCGTGCACTTTTTTAGGTGCCGGACGGTTTTGGTTGAGTCTCCGGAACCGACTCCCACTCATAGACATACCCTGATGGTTGTGTCTCGAACAACGTTGGATTATTCTCGTATTGTTGGAAGATCTCCACATGACGAGCTCGTTAGGCTCAAGATCGTCGGGGAAAAAGCCGGAGCTAGAAGGATTCATTTTGAAAAGAGAATTGGAGAATTGAGAATTGAAGCTGTGAAGAAGATTGATGAGAATTGGAAAGAGAATTGGAGAATTGAGAATTGAAGAATTGAGAATTGGAAAATTATTAATTTTTTTAAAGGCTGCAACGGGTAATTTAGCCGTTAGGCGGAAGGGGGAAGTGCGTCAAACGTTTGACACTCAGAGAGAGAGATGACGTCCCGTTGAAGCCCTAGGGGGGCGGTGTTTAACGCCCCGGGCGTTAAAATCCGGTCTGAGAGAGAGGAGTATTTTCCTTTAATGGACTCATAATTAAAAAAAAGTGAAATTTGCACTAAATAAGACTAAAATATAATGATTTTCCTAATCTAGGACTTAAATTTTTTTATTTCCTAAATAGGACTTATTAATGTTTTAGTGGAAGGAATAATGTCCAGTAATGATGAACATTTACTTGAATAATGATTAATTCATAATGACCAAAAGTCCTACATTGAAAAATAAAAACATATGCTCTTATATTGGAAAAGTCATTATGTTTTAGTTTTATTTAGGTAAATTGCTCTAAAAAAAACTCTTTACACAAGGCGTCAGGTGTGATATATATTGAACCTTCTACTTACGTAGTAGCTATACAGTAAGGAGTGTTTTTTTTTTGTTGTTGAAAAAATCCTCTTCTCTTTTGCCTTAAAATTCTACGTGGTAACTTCGTATACTCGACGTAAGTTGTTTGAAAGTGGAAAAAAACGACACCGGCCATTAACCGTCGTCGGGGTATAAGGCTCTGCTATATATAACTCGGTTTATAGTCTATACTAATAACATCACAAGATATATATAAATAACTGTAGAGAGTCCAATTAACAATAAACAATCTTGTCTGTGCAAATTCAGTGCAAAAATATAATGGCGGCGCACTCTTACAAAAATATGTGCCTACTGTTTCTTGTCTTTGTTTCCGTTTCAGGTTTGTTTTCTTTGAAATAGTCATACTTGACTAATACAGTACATCAGAAATGATACCCTATTTTCTTTCAAATATCTCTATTTATATAAAAAGGTAGATTGCTTGTAAAAATAGAGAGTATGATATTTCAAAATGATGTTTTGAAATGAGCCTATATATCGAAATCTAATTTATTTGGTCAAAGTATACTCATTTTTTTACTTATTTTCATTTCACTGTCGTAAATATTTGTAGTGAAAACTACAAATATTTGACCGAATTATATTCTAATCCCTTCGTTCCAAGGGATTACTATAAAAATGAACCAATAAAGACATCATTTAGAAAAAATGAAACTGTTTAATTTGGGACAAATGAAGTGTGCGTTAATTCTTGTTATTTAATTGATCTTTATTGCAAACACAAAAAAAAAATTGATAATTAAAACATTATAAAAAAATAATTTTAAAAAAGAAATTAAAAACATTTATGAAAAAATTAGTAGAAAAAAGAAAAAAATAATAAAAAGAGGAGGCTTTTTTTGTTTATTAATTCATCTCCTTAGCCATACTCTTTCCATTCTAATCTAAGTTATTTGTTTATTATTTATAGAAACAAGTTTTAATCATTTTCTTCACTCGTTTTGGATACACAAATGATAAAATAATACTCCACCCGTCCCAAAAACTCCGTCCCCGTCCCACAGACTCCTACCAATTCTTATTAACTTACGTATCACGTCATTCTTTTTTCCTAATAAACTACTCATTACATCTTACTTTTACTATACCCACTACATGAAAGATATATTTGGAAAGCCAACACAAAAATATCTCACCCCTAAATATCCTAAAAGTCAAAATGAGAACGTCTTTATGGAACGCTGGAAATATAAAAATGGTTTAAAAATAAGTACGTTTTGTGAGGGTGTTATATTATTGAATTTGTTGCAGAAAGATCAAGTGTGGGGCAACAACTCCCAAATTGCCCCTATGGTTTCACCAGCCCCATAGTTGAAGGGGATGCAACTTCGTGCGGAAACGACATGAACAAAATGGATAACAGCAACTGCAACACCACGTGCCACAAGAAATACAATGAATCTTTCTGGGGAGGGTGTAATTACGCTACCAGTACTGGCCCAGTCTGTGGCTGCCAGTTTATTTACAATTGCAACGCCTCCACCGCCGGCATCCCCATCGCCGCCGGAGCTGTGCCGACGACCCATCCGGTGGCGGGCGCCACAAGCCCTATAATAATAGTATCCCTACTTCTCATGACATACATATGGATATGTATTGTTGTTGCATGATTATTTCTATGTGCGACACACATGATAATTAATAATCATTTGTGCAAAACATGGGTGCACCGTTGACCGCAACGGACACCTTAACATTTCCTATTTAATATGTTGAGATATCATTATAAACGTCCTTTGCACTATATATTGTTGTCCTTAAATTAATTTGTATCCGGTACGTCATTGTTTTTGTCTTCTTTCTCTTACTACAAAAAATGCACTTTAATTCCCATTGCGGATCGAATGTACTCTCTGTGTTTCAAAAAGAATAGTTCTATCTTAATGTTTTGTGTATCCCAGAATGCACTTTTATTCCCACGCCTGAAATCTTGGGAAGATACTTCTTCCCTCTAGAAATGTCTTCCCTCCAGAAATGTTTTTCTCATTTGATTTTTTACGGTCTCCAGAATTGTGCTTTGACCACTAGTATCTTTATTTATACATAGATATATTTTTTAAAAATTGGTATATTTGAAAACTACTCCCTCCGTCCCAAAAAGATTTGCACGTTTCAAAAAAATTGCGTTCCACAATCCCTTACCCATTTCTATTAAAAAAATCATTTTTACCCCTTACTTTTTCATACCCTACCTATCACATCATACCTGATGGGTATATCCTTATACCCGACCCGGATAATCGAAAGGGACAGGTCAAAATATGACCGGTCACTTTTATCAATCACCAAATGAGGTTAACTCTTCGATTGGGACGGGTCAAAAGTTGACCGGTCACTTCCACTAAAAAAGTAACCGGTCACATTTTGGGTGTTAGCCAATTCGTCACTTCATGTTACGAAGGATAGTCCAGAGGACCAAAGAGACGGGTCGAACTCAAGAAATGACCGGACAACCTTGGAGGAAAGATGACCGGTAAGGTTGCGTCACTTGGGAATGGCAATCAACGTCAAAGGCCAGGGGACCACCCCGCCGTTCGTCCTTCACGAGGCAAATAGTGAAAGAAACATTTGTCACTTTGCAGGGCTGATTGGATTGAGAATATCCATTTATAGTCTTTGATTGAACAGTACATGTCTTGGCTTGTAGTTGCTAAATTCATTGATTGAATAGTAGATTGATTATGTACAGTGACCTTCCCACGGGCTTCCTATTTTGTCCATGGATGAACAGAGGAAGGTCACAAATCCTCCTCTATAAATATGATGATATTGGATAGAGGAGGGGATCCATTCTTTATCTCACTAAAAAACTAGAACACTCTTGAGACAGAGTAAGAAATATATTTCGGATTGAGGTGATTTACCCGGTCTAGGTCATATTTTGTGTTCTTGTTGTGTGTTTTATATAACGGGTCAAGTGTCTAGGTCAAACCCGGTCAACCCACCCGTCTATAGTTACACCATCAATACCTTTTTTCTAATCATCTACACATCACATCATACTTTTACCCATCACATCAAGGGTATTTTTGGAAAGTCAACACAAAATTATCCCTCCCTTAATTTCTACTTAAGTCAAAATGTACCCATCTTTATGGGACGGAGGGAGTACGTTTCAATAGAAATATATTGATATTAAAGTTATATAATACTCCCTCCGTTCTCAAAAACACTTCCTCTTTCATGTTTTCCACTTCCAACAAAACACTTCCCTTTTTTATTAAAAAACACTTCCCTTTTCTATTAAAAAACCACCTTTACCCTTACTTTTTCATACCCTATCTATCACATCATACTTTTTCTCTAATAATCTATCCATCACATCTTATTTTTACCCATCACATCAGGGGCAAAATTGGAAATCAACTACTCCCTCCGTCCGGGAAAAAATTTCCCATTTGGACTTTTCTTCATTTTTTTGAAGGGTTGACTATTGGTGTAGTTTCCCTAAAATGCCCTCCCTCTCCCTCCCCTCCTGACCAGCCCGACAATCACCGTCCCAACCATCGTCGCTAGTACCTCCTTTGCCGCCTGTCACACCAACACTCATTTCTCCTCACCATCGCCGATTCGCCGCCACTCCACTTCCGGCAGCCTCACCATCGGCGCCAGCCCCACCTCCACCTCCACCGTGGTGCAGATCTAAAAGAAGATGAAGAAGAAAAAGGTGAAGAAATGTAGATCTAGACTCACTGTCACCGTCGTCGTCGCTGTCACCGCCACAATCGCCGCCGCCATGCTCAGATCTAGAAGATGGAAGAGATATAAGAAGGGAGAGAAAAAGAAGGAAAAAAAGAGGGGGAGAAAGAAGAGAAGAAGAGGCGGACTGGGGGAGAAAAAAGAGATGAGATGTACGGGGAAGAGGAAGAGCCAAAGAGAAAGAAGAAGAAGAATAAGAGAAGAAAGAGAAGAAGAAAGAAAGAAAAATGATTGAGAAGAGAGAAAAGGGTGGGGGGACGGGACGGGTAGATCTAGGAAGGAAGTTTGAAAGGGTAATGAAATTGAATGATAAGGGTATTTTTGGAAGGATTGGGATTAAAAATTGAAATGGGAAGATTTTTTCCGGACGGGGAAAAAGGAGAAACGGGAAGATTTTTTCCGGACGGAGGGAGTATAATTTAACACTTCCTTATTTTTGCCCCAAATCAAAATGGGAAGGGTTTTTCCAAACGGAGGGAGTAATACAATTTAATTTTTTCCATATATCATAATCAAAATTTACAAACTTTGATTGAAAAAAATCAAATTAGAAGAACATTTTTGAACGGAGAAAGTACTATATTTCTCTTTTATTATCAGTTTTTTAGAATTATTTTAGAAATTTTGGGTGGAATAAATTACACAACAAATTAGAGTAATTCACATACAAATTAGGATAAAACTATGAGTAATTTACATACTCGGTATATAAGACCACTCTTCCTATAATGGGACTACTCCTGTTTATATTACCGTATAGTGATAGAAAAATACAAAAATATCCCCATGAAGCCCATGAACATAGAAAGGAAAATCTCCACCCGTTTTTGATCTCCTCAATCAAGTTCCACTATAATTTGGGAGAAAATCAATTATTCGATTACATATATAATTTAAAATCAATTAACTACTCCCTCTGTTCTTAAAAAGAGTTCCTACTTTGACAAAGTGTAAAAATAAGGAAGTGTTAAATTGTAGTTGACTTCCAATTTTGCCCTTGATGTGATGGGTAAAAGTAAGATGTGATGGATAGATTATTAGAGAAAAAGTATGATGCGATAGATAGGGTATGAAAAAGTAAGGGTAAAAGTAAAGTGGAAGTGTTTTGTTGAAAGTGAAAAAATGAAAGGGGAAGTGTTTTTAAGAACGGAGGGAGTATATTAAATTTACATCATACGGACAGTTATCGAGAAACGGTGTGACAGGTTGGAGGGGAAGGACGGTACACGTTCCAAAGTAATAATCACAATTTGAATTTTAAATTCGATACATATAAAAAATTTTGCCGCGTGTTAACACCCCTCCGACCTTCGTACACACTCAGGCTGAGCAGTTCCTATACTCGGTCGAGAATTTTTCAAGACTTATATATACTTCAGAAAATTTTGTACTTCCATACGGCCTCGATGCACTCGGCCTAGGAAGTGGGGGGTTCCTATACTCGCCCAAGAATTTTTCATAACTTATACTTCAGAAAATTTTATACTTCCATACGGCCTCGATGCAGTACTCGGCCTAGGAAGTGGGGGACTCATGATGGATACCCCAAGATGGGGGTATCCAGCCCAACTGAATGTGCGGCCCAGACAGATCGAATGATGCATGCGTGCTCGGCTAAGCAAAACTTAAGAGGAAACCAAAGTCTCAAGGTGACAACCGCATCTGGACACACATCCACGCTCAGTCCGGAAACACCTACTCGGCATCAGGACCGACCCAGTCGGACCTCCATGGACAATCTCCAATTGCTAAGGATGCGTGCTCGGCCTCAGACGCAAGCTACACGTCAGGGCCCACTAGGGCATGCTGGCCTACAAGCCTTGTCCAATCAGCGGGCCCACAATTAGATGCCCTGATATGCTTGTCTATCATATAAGTTGTAGCCTCCCTATTGTCGCTCATCCTTTGTAGTCATCATAGCTTGTAATCATATAGTTGGCGCCGTAAGTCGAACGGATGGAGCTCGATGGGCCCGGCCCGTTAGGCCATAGACTAACGGTCAGGAGGCCCAATTGTATTTTGTATAAATGCCCCTCTCTGGGAGTGGGAGAACCACGTTCACTTGGACTATCAAGCTCGTATACTTTTCTCGACTCTTGCAACTTAACGCACTTAGTTCTTGTTCGATACTCTTCTACCTAGTCTCCTAGGTCTCGGGTTCTAAAACAGGGGAGATTGTTAGTTCCTTGTTTGTGCTCTTTACTCTATGTTTCACTAGTACATAAAAGGGAAAAGGCACCGGTTGTTTTATACCTTTAGCATCGGTTTTGTACCGATGTAAATACAAGCGATGCAATTGGTCTAATTTAATTGCATCGCTTTTGAAACAACCGATGCCTTTGGTATTTTATTAATTAAAAAAAAAGAGTATTAGCATCGGTTGTTTCTAAACAACCGGTGCCTTTGCTATTTTATTAATTTAAAAAAAAAGTATTTGCATCGGTTGTTTCTAAACAGCCGATGCCTTTGCTATTTTATTAATTTTTAAAAAAATTATTCGCATCGGTTGTTTCTACACAACCGATGCCTTTGCTATTTTATTAATTTTTAAAAAAAGTATTCGCATCGGTTGTTTCTAACCAACCGATGCCTTTACTATTTTTTTAATTTAAATAAAAGAGTATTAGCATCGAAATTACCGATGCAATTGTACTATCGCCAATTGCAGAACAACAATTTGGTTCAGAATTAAACAAATAGAAGTGCACTCCAAATCAATTAAGCTTAGCCAAATATTCTTTGAGAGAAATTATCAAAAACCTTTGGATAATCAGACTTTTAAAATGAACTTCTCGGTTTCATCCACAATTATCATGCATATGTTTCACCTTAGGGTTAGAACTACTCCCATGCTGAATTGACAAACTGGCATACACAAGAACATGTTTTAAACAAAAAAATTGAAATTTTTATTGAAGAATTCAAACTATTAAAACCACAACTGAAAACTAACGGCTAATATCTACACAAATAAAGAAAGAGAAAAGGTTTTCTTGTTAGGAACTAGAACCTAGATGAAATATGACCTGCGATTCAGGTTTCGAGAAATGAGCGGGCGAAGAAACTCACTGGCGATGGTGATTCAGCAAGACTCAAACACCAGCAGGGGGTGCCAACGTACCCTTCCCTAGCTTGTACATGGTGCTGAAACAATTCCTGGTAACAGGAATGTGATAAAACTAACAGATGAAGAGCACATTTCTTCATCTCTGCTTCGTCGTCACTGCATTGCAATGCAACACGCAGAATGTCAATAAACCGTCACACTCTTAAAACAACATATCATTGCGTTAATCCTATTAAAATCCTACAAAACGAAACACCAGAAATAAACTCATTACCATTTGAGCAATGCGCTTGTAGCACCAATGACCATGCACAACAAGAAGCCTCTCCAGAAAGTAGAACTGTGCAATGGCAAAGTCACTAGCCATCACTGCCTGCAATAAACTCCCATAGTCATGTAAAAACCTTATAGAATGCGCATTAGACAAAAACATGCATGCTATACAGTAGATAAATCCACATGGTATGTATGTGTTTGTAGTCAGTGGTTAGATCAATGGGAGGTGGGGCTGTCGTGATTCCAAAAGATTTAACAAGTAGGTTTTATTAACCTAACATGTTTAGTTTACTAGGCACAGGCATTGACATATAATTAGATTTGGTCCCCACATCCCCCAGGCAGAGGCATTGACAAACTATTCCTTTTTGAAATTCTTCATCTGCTTAGCATTCAAAAAAATGTTAATGATGTGATGGAATATCAGGTTTATTCCAATAATACAACTCAGCCTATAGGAGATCTTCTTTGTACTCACTGACATTAAAATTGATATAAACATCTAGTCCATAAAATTTAATTGCACCACAGTTAAATGAAATGAATAAAGACTCTTCAAGTTCTTGAGTTTATCACGTTGGGGTACTACCTTGTGGTTCACTCTCTACAAAGCTGCTTCAAGCAAATGATCAAGGGACTCTTCTTACTTTAGCTCTTGATCTCGCCCCAAGCCCCAAGGTGTCATCTAGCTTCTTCATTCCCTCTTTATTGGTGGCCTTTAGCGAGGAGTTGGCTCGGGCAGCTTTCTAAACTTGCTTAGTTGGTTGGAGAATGTTTGCAATTCCCAAGTTAAAACATGCTCCTTGTGTTTGTGAAGAGTGCCTGCATAGAAGTATATGACACTTCATCAAGTGAGTCTAAATCTCTTAGGTAGTCTAAGAGTCACTTGAGTGAACAAAAAGCTTTGTTATCTACCTATATATAGGTGCTATATATCGCTGAAGGATGTACGTTTAAGAAATAAAATCTCCAAAAAAATCTCTTGTTAATCTACCGAAGCAGTAACCGTAACACTAAAAACAGAAGTCATTAATAGGATGGCATGTACATTTAGCATTTCCCATCAAAGCTTGTATGCAGTCCCAAGGCGTTAAAGTCCTACGCCTTGTTGTCCCTCAAAAAAAGAATAAATTAGTAAATTAATTAAACAATTAAAGTCTATTCACACACTCACGCACATGCCTAGTTGTTAGAGAGTATAGACCTGAGGTGAGGTATGAGCGACTTCTATTGCTCACTAGTCTTTCCATTAGCTCCTGCATAAATCAAAATCAAACAAAAAGAAGCAATTAGCTTTTGTTTTGGAAAAAGGTCCAAAACAACCAATGATATCTCTTTTATCTTCTGTCACAACCGCTCAATTTATGCACACCCAGATCAATTCGAGGGAAAACCGACCCTTATCCATAATATGTCATCAACATTGTAAACATTTGTTTAATCAATAATAAGCCTAGCTTTAAAAAAGTTTAATAGTAATCGGGTTAATTTTATTTAGAGCATTACACACTAAATAGAACAAAAAAAAACCACACTCAAAATGTTTCTACATTCAAAAAAACAATTTCTACTTGTAGGATAGATGAAGGTTTTTAGATTGAGAAAGAGATCAAAGATTAAGACAACAAAAAAAAAGTTTCAACAGGAGAACATTTTATTCTTCAAGTTTCCATCAAATAAATAGCCCAAAACTCTTGTTCGTTTCTAAATACAAGAAATGCAAGCCACTGGAGAGTGACAAATATAGTTGCTTCAAAAGAAACTAACCAAAAGGCCTAGAAAACTTAGCTATAAGTGCAGAAAATACATTAAGAAATTTGAGTTGCACCAACAGGTGACAAAGCAGCCATAACAATACACTGTGGGCACATAACTATACACTATGGGCATGCTTCAAAATTACATTAGCAATTAAGTTAATTATAATGAGTATTAAAACATTCACTTAAAGTGGCGGGAATGCTATAGTTTATTATGAAGTATGTCACAACAAAAGCTTTCACGGTGCCTAATCTCACAAACACAGAAGTTTCTGCAGTTCTACTCACAGGGGACCTTAGGACCCTCTGTATCGTTCAGTACATAGGCAGTATATAGCGGATTAAGTGAAGAAGTACCTCTTGCTTCCAAGCGGGAAGGGTGCGCAATCACCCAGAGGCTTTAGCAACGACCTTCTTCTTCCGGCTGGTGGCCTCCTCCTCCTCCCTCTGTGCCAGCTTGTGAATCAGATCTAAACACCCTAAAGGCTGTCAAATATAGGCCTCCTTGCCAAATAAATCCTTTTTTACTATTCACAAGTATACACATTCCACTCAACAACTCAAAATTTTCAACAAATTTCGAATGAAATTGAAAAAGAAAGGGGAAGAAAATCACCTCTAAGGCTTTAGATGGTTCTGACCAATGGATTGGAACTGTAAGCTCTTCATTGCCTTTTGTCTGGTTCCTAGTACCTGGTGCTCTTCACGCTCGGAATTGAGAAAGATCCACAAAGACTTCTCTGATTCAGAGCTAGGGTTAGAACGTAACATCAACACTAGCGATGGTGACAACATCGCTAGCGAGAACGAGGATGATGACGGCTAGATCGCAGGCCAGCACGGGGATGGCGACGGCTACATCGTTGGCGAGCACAGGGATGGTTACACCGCAGAGAGGAAAGGAGATACAGAGTTTTGTGTTACATATGGACTTCTGGACTTCTGAGCATCGGTTGTGGAATAAAACAGATGCATAAACACTATAGAATCGGTTATACACTAAAACCGATGCCTTTGTATTTTTAAGAATTTAGAAACTTTTAAGCATTGGTTTTAGCATCGGCTCCTGTAAACAACCGATGCATTTGCATTAATTTTTGAAAATATTAAAAATTAAAAAATAGGTATTAGCATCGGTTGTTTTGTATAACCGATGCCATTGAGCTATTGCATCGGTTTTACAAAATAACCGATGCTAATACCTATTTCTTTTTTCCAAATTTAATTTTAAAAAAAACAATTGCATCGCTTTTGAAAAACAACCGATGCCTTTGCTCTTTTGCATCGATTATTTTTGTATGCGATGCAATTGAGGGCAATCTTTTTGCCTTTTTTTGTAGTAGTGTTTGCCCCTACCTTGTATTAGAATCAGTTTTTGACAAACCACGTAGATCAGTTTTTATGTTGTAGTTTGTATTTTAGCATTCGGTTAGTCACTCCTACCGTGTTTGAAGTCTTTTATTATGCGAAGAGGTCCTTCGTGGGTGATCGTGTTTTTCGCGCTACAAGAGATGGTAAGAGTTGGAGGCGTCTTGAAACTTTACAAGAAATGGTATTTGTGTGAAGACCATGGTCTTGAGTACACGGCAGTATCTAGTTGGCAGGCTTAGACTCTTACTGTGTCTCTACTAGGGTTACACTATCTGTATAAGCATTGGTACTTCGATCTATTAGCTAGGATGGACGAGTGAGGATAGCATCTGAGGACTTATCACAAAGGAGAGATCACGCAACAATCACAATCATAGCGTGAAGGTTCTGAATAGTCTTGCTTATTAAGAATATGAGAGCCATCTCTGGTGATCACATCTACATTTAGTTGCTGTTGACAAGCAAATTCGTTCAGGAGTTGATCATTGAGTTGTCCTGGGAAAAAGGCTGAAGTCACGTCCTTGGAAGGAAACGTAGAGAGGGTGTAACATGCCAAAGTGATAGACACCAACTGAGTATTGTGTTTAAGGTCATCAGTAAGTTCCTTTGTCAAAAACATTAGAAGATTCTCTTGTGTTTGAATTGTGTAAATATTACGATGATCTAATGGAGGGCTGTTACACGAACGTGGGCCTCGCAGACGTAAGATCGAATTTTTGCTCCGAACTACGTAAACAAAATTTCTGTGTGTCGTGCCATTTTATTTATTTTGATGTGTGTGTTTGCATGTGTGGTTCAGCATAAGTTAAGTCATCTATATCTGAGAATCGGTTTGTCGTATCGTTCGTTCATTTTTGTGTGCCTTGTTCATTGACTAAGCAGGTGATAAATCTCTTACACTATGTTTGGTTCAAGGAATTGAAGAAGAAAGGAAAATGATAAGGAAAAGAAAAGAAAAGGAAAGAAACTCAAAATTCTAGTTATGTTTGGTTAAGATGAAAATTGATGAAGAAAATGTATTCTCAAGCTCTTTTTGTTTGGTTAGAAGGAAATTTGGTGAAATTGTGCAGATCTATGATAGTGTGAGGTCATGGTTGTATAAAACAAAAGATGATAAACCCATCAAAGAGGAACTGGTGGGAAACCTGGAGCTACTGGAAGGGGAGCTTTGGGAAGGGCAATATTTTGGTGAGGGGATGATTGGGTTTCAGAGACGGGAGAGATGGGCCATATTTTGGTGGCGAGAAGACATGGCAGAGACGGGAGCTATGGATTCTCTCATTTTCCGTCCAAAATCGGGAGGAAAATGATTTTGCCCTTTTTAAATTCATTTTCTCCCCACTTTTCTTTTCCTCTCACTTTTCCTTTCCTTTTGTCACTAACCAAACATAAAAAAACATTTCCCTCATATTTTCTTTTCTTTTCCCAGCCAAAATCCTTGAACCAAACATAGTATTAGAGATTTCAAAGGAAAGATTAAGGAAGGTGCATGCAGAATATTCCCATCTGTAACATCATTCAATACGCTTGTATCTTTCAATTGACTTAAAACACCAGTTTCCTAAAACTAGAAATAAAGTCTTCACTTTCATGTACTTCATCCGTTCCACAAAACCCCTTCCTCTTTTGTTTTTTTTTGCTTTCCACAAAACACTTTCACTTTCTATTAAAAAACCACTTTTACCCCTACTTTTTCATAACCTACCTATCACATCATACTTTTTCACTAATAATCAAACTATCCCATCTTACTTTTTCCCATCACATCAGGGACAAAATTAGAAAGTTAACCAAAATTACACTTTCTCTATTTTTCCCCAAAGTCAAAACCGGAAGGGTTTTGTGGAACAGAGGGAGTATATGAATGTATTTGATTGGAGGTGGTGATTGTGGGCCACCATGACGCTGATGTGCACTAGCACTGAATCATATATTCACACACAAAAATGAGAGTAATTCCCTAAAAAGTCCCCAGTTATAGGTCGTTTTACATATTTAGTTCTTACATATCAAATATTACTAATTTAGTCCCCAATTATTATATTTATTTCCACGAATGTTCCTTTGTTAACCTTTCCGTTACAAACGTGGATAAAATTGTAAATTCACACTCCTCTCTCTGCTCAATCAAGTTTTTTCCCTCCTCTCGTACTCTTTAATTTCCCAAACTCGTCGCTGAGTTTGAAGCTCTAAATCCAAAACTTAAATGATCATTCCTTTCTCAAATTTTTGAGAATTTTGAGAAACTCTATCATAAATTTGCTCACACAATTTTTTTATAATAAGACAAAATCAAATAAAATAAAATGCTTCTTTCAATAGTAAGCAAATTATTATGTGATTTGTATGAATTTCCACCATAAACTTTTAAGTGAAATTTGTACTAAATAGGACTAAAACATAATGACTTTCCAAATCTAGGACTTAAACTTTTTTATTCCCTAAATAAGACTTATTAATGTCTTAGTGGGTGGAATAATGTCCAATAATGATGGACATTTACTTAAATAATGACTAATTCATAATGACCAAAAGTCTTACATTTGGAAAATAAAAACATATGATCCTATATTGGGAAAGTCATTATGTTTTAGTCCTATTTAAGTAAATTATTCAACTTTTAATTCTAGCAAGAATCTAGAGAGTGGTTAATCAACCGTGTAATTGCGTAGTCATATGATCATACACCATTGTAAATAAAATACATGCACTCTATTGGTCGAAAAAAAATACTTCATCCGTATAAAAAAGAATTATACTCTTCACCATTCAAAAGTTACGAAAACTTATATTTATTTGCATGCTTTGATTGATTATTTGATAAATAAAATATGATTGTCACCTCTTAATTATTTTGTAGAATTTTTGACATGATTTTTAAATATGTAAGTTTGATTTTTAATTTTTTTACCAATCTTGAAATAAAATAAATTAAAAGGTTAAACTTAAAATTTCACTTGGTTTTACGTAAAGTGAAAATATTTTGGGACGAGTAATGTTAGATTCACAAACAAAATAATTACAAATATCACAAACTTACTATTGAGAATTGAAATTCTCATTTTAAAATTATTTTAAACTACTTAATTTTTTATTAAAATTCACAAATAATAAGTTTGTGAGGCTCGTGACTATTTTATATGTGAGTGGAAGCATTTTTCTTTTGAGAGAGAGAGGTACCAAGTACTATGCTTGAATTAGTAATATAATTTGGTCATGGTCATGAGATTCCTAAAACGATTTTTCTTATTCCACACTTAAAGTTTCTTTTGAAAAATCATTCATCTTTCTTTTGCATTTAAATTGTTACGTTATTTAAAAGTGACTTTTAAAAGGTTGTTGTAATTTAAAAGTGATACCCTAACTTTAAAAGAAGATAGTCAAGATGCCGTTGGATTTGTATATGGAGTTATGGCAACGCTGCGATGCGGTGTAATAGAAATGGTATACTTCCTGCGTTTGGAAAAATCTTTCCCATTTTGATTTGGGACAAAAATAAGGAAGTGTTAAATTATACTCCCTCCGTCCCAAAAAGTTTGTTACGTTTAGAAAAAACTGCGTCTCGTAAAGTCCGTTACATTTCTATTAAAAAACCACTTTTACCCCTTACTTTTTCATACCCTACCTATCACATCATACCTTTTTTCTACTCTGTGATAATCTACCCATCACATCCTACTTTTACCCATTACATCAATGGTATTTTTAGAAAGTCAATACCAAAATATCCCTTCCTTAATTTCCCAAAAAGTCAAACCGTCCCATTCTTTTTGGGACGGAGGGAGTAGTTGATTTCCAATTTTGCCTCTGATGTGATGGGTAAAAGTAAGATGTGATGGATAGATTATTAGAGAAAAAATATGATGTGATAGGTAGGGTATAAAAAAGTAAGGGTAAAAGTGGTTTTTTAATAGAAAAGGGAAGTGTTTTGTTGGAAGTGGAAAAAATGAAAGAGAAAGTATTTTTGAGAACGGAGAAAGTACAAACTAGTGAGGTTTCACTATTCACAAATTTAGGTAGATGGGGCACTATTAGTCCCGGGTCCGAGGACAGTGACTCTAGATTTTTTACGGAGTAATAGACAATATGAAATGATTAAAAAACAATAAATTTTATTTGGAACATTTATTGAATGTGAAACTTTTTTTATAGTAATAATGTAAAATTTTGGTATGGGGTACGTGCATTCGACACTGTATCCGAATGTGAAGAACCTGGTAGATTAAACTAATCGTATCCTGAAAATTAAACACCCTTTCAGTCCGACCAATGTCCCCCCGCCTCAGCCCCTTAAACCCCGACAGGGGCTTAGCCCCTTGGATCCTGCCCGGGCGGGTACCACCCCTTGGATTCAACTACAGGGGTATTTCAGAGTTTGTCCATTTTTATTCAAAAAAAATTAAACAGGACAAATTAGTATTCCGCCGTCCCACAAAATACTTCACATTTCCTTTTCCATTCGTCCCAAAAAATACTTCTCTTTGGTTGAATCGGTTTCTTGACATGGTATCGTAACCTTCTTGACTAAGAGGTCACACGTTCGAAAC